TGTTCTATAAATGATAACACTTTATGGTTTTTGCTTTTTGTACATGATTTGTAAAAGGGATCTTCTTGTGGGAGGAAACAGTCTCAATCTGCATCAGCTTTTCAAAGAGGTCACAGCTCGAGGTGGTATTGAAAAGGTAACTAGCAAGTTCATAGTGTCATTGAACATGAAGTTTTACAGCTTTTTTTTTTGTTTGATTAACGATTATCCTTTTGATTATAGGTGATCAAGGAGCGTAAATGCAAAGCAGTGATTGCAACATTTGCTTTGGAGACACCAATAACAAATGCTTCATTTGTTTTGAAGAAGTACTACGTGCCGATGCTCTTAAAGTTGGAGCATGTGTTTTACTCCAATGAACCACTTTCTTCATTCTCGGCGAGAGGTCAGAATAATACCAATCATGTTTTTTCTTATCTGTCTCTTTCTAATTCTCTAAGTAGATCCGAGATTAACATTAGTGTTTTCCCTTTTTCGCAGAAGAAGAAATGAAACGCTTTGTCGCCAAATCGGCAAATCATGACAATGGTACTATAACATTTGAATGTTTTCGATGCAAATTCAGCTGTTAAAGTTGTTACCTTTCCTGTTTCTTTTCATTTCGCTAACCCATTACTTCGATATGTTTAATGAATTTCATCTTTTTGCCTCCATAATTCATTTTTCTATCCAAAAACTTCACATCTTTCAATATTATTGGAGTGTTGAGTTTTGCTTTCTGTGACTTTCATGTACTCGAGAGCTGCAAGTTGGAACTGCGGTTAATGGGATCATCGATGGGAAGTTCGATAACGGTTATTTTGTAAGTATTAAGATGGGTTCAAAACAGCTCAAAGGAGTGCTTTACCGTCTTAAATCTCGAAGACGCAAGAAGAAATCAAAATCATCAGATCCTAATAAACCTAAGTTTTACAGAAGCGGTTATAGCTTCTTCTATATGGAGAACCGCAAGAGGCTTAAGCCTCATTTCCCAGGACAACTTATCAATCAAGAAATTCCGAAAATGTGGCACAATCTCTCTCCATCTGATAAAGTGGTTAATAAAACTCTCTCTCTCTCTTAATCCCTGAAACCGATAAATCAAAACTATGTTTTAAAAGTTCCTTTATCTCGAATGAGATTTAATCGATCAGTTTAATGATTCTTGAAACAGGTTTATCAAGAAAAGAGTTGTAAGGATAAGGAGAGGTATGAAAAAGAGATCTTGGATTCTCGCGCTACAACTGATGCAGCGATGAACGATGCGGCGGCTGCGGCTGAGGCAGGTCAGTAGTCTTTCTCTGTTGTTTTGTTATCTTCTCCGTTTGCTACTTTTTTTTTTGTTTCATTTTGAGAACTTTAATACGATAATATGTTGTAGAAATTGGCCATAGATCTTTAATTGATTCTTATGTAGCAGAAACTGCAGCTGTGGCCGATGCAGTGATGAATGATGCAACGGATTCTGATGCAACGGAGTCTGATGCTGCGACCGATGCAGCGATGAATGATCCAGAGGAGACTGATGCAGCGACTGAGGCTGAGGAGGCTCAGTAGTGTTTCTCTGTTGTTTTCTTCTCTGTGTTGTTACTTTATTTCTCTGTTTTCGAGTTTCATTTTTAAAACTTTAATTCTCTGTTTTTGAGTTTCATTTTGAGAACTTTAATTCAATAATAAGATGTAGAATCTTGGCAACATTTTACATCGAAATGAGTTTTTTCTTTTTCTACATTATTTTTACTTCTGCAATTGACTATGTATTCAAAAGACAACAAGAGATTAAGAAGTAGAAGAAACAGAGATAATAAAATATATAGATAGCTTGAGATCCATGTCAGACATATAGGATAAACCAAAAAACAGAGATTGAATCAATCAACCAAAGAAGCTTGGATCTTATCCATTGCAAGAAGTAGGCAATAAGTTATAAGCAAAAGTGTGTCCATAGGA